TCCTGTGGGTGTGACTGGGCCTAGGAAGTGCTGGTGGGGTGGCTAAAGGTAGGGGGAAGGGCAGGGTGGACAGCCCTGGACACAGTCATCCACAGCTTCAGGACTCCCAGTAGGGAGGGGCCCTCTTGGGACAGGTGACCTCAGCAACAGGCAGGGGCAGGGTCTGGATCAGGGTGGAGGAAGGGCTCCCAGGAATGAACATTTCAATCCCTCAGGGGAGTTTCCATCTTTCTGGACTCACTCAAAATTGGCCTCCTTGATCTAACCTGACTCGACTTACCTGTCTACACTGCCTGCCTTTCTAGTTCTGGCTTCAAGAACATCAAATATTTAGGAAGAAATCCAACAAAAGATGCACAGCACCCACACATACACCTGCCACGAGAGTGAAGAAGACAGTTCTCCATCACTGTAACAAAACACCTGAGATAATTAACTTATAAAGACAAAGGGTTATTGTGACTCACAGTCTTGGAGGTTTCTGTTCAGTTCAGTGACCTCACTGCTTTGCACTTGGGTGAGGTGTGGGTGGCCAAGGCAGGTGGCACATGGCACCACCAACTGTGGACCCTCAAGGTGAGGAAGCAAAAGAGGAGGAGCCCAGGGCCCCACAGTTGCCTTTAGGGGCTTGACCCACACCTGAGGACCCCCAGGGTGCACCTCCTAAAGCTGCACCACCTCCCAAGAGCACCCCCTGGGGCCCCAGCCTGTGACCCAAGGGCCTGGGGGAGACCCAGGGGCCTGGGGGGGACCTGGAGCTCTAAGCTGCAGTGGACCCATCTCCAGCCCCCAGTGGACCAAGAATGACCCGCCTGCAGCTCCCGCTGATCCCCAGGGTCAGTGCCACCCGGCCACAAGGCCAGCTCCCGTGTTTACATGGTGGGCTGTGTGTATGGGTTTGAGTGTGTGTTGTGCATGGTGTGTGTGGGTGTGTTTGTGTGTCCAGACATGCATGTGAGTGTAGCACGCTGTGTTAGGGGGTGTATGAGTGTGTGTCACGTGTCTACAGGTATGCACGTGTTCATACGTGTATATTCTGTGTACACATGCTTCGGTGTGTGGTGTGTGTGTTTAGGCATGCTTGTGTGTGTGTGTGCAGGTGTGCATGTGTGTGATGTGTACAGAGGTTGTTTATGTGTGTGTGTGTGCATGTGTGTAGGTATGCATGTGTGTGATGTGTATAAACAGCGGTTGTTGTGTGTGTGTGTGTGCAGGTGTGCATTGTGTGATGTGTACAGCCAGAGGTTGTTTGTGTGTGTGCATGTGTGTGCAGGTGTGCATGTGTGTGATGTGTATAGACAGAGGTTTTGTGTGTGTGTGTGTGTGTGCAGGTGTGCATCTGTGTGATGTGTATAGACAGAGGTTGGTGTGTGTGTGTGTGTGTGCATGTGTGCAGGTGTGCATGTGTGTGATGTGTATAGACAGAGGTTGTGTGTGCGTGTGTGCAGGTGTGCATGTGTGTGATGTGTATAGACAGAGGTTGGTGTGTATGTGTGTGTGCGTGTGTGCAGGTGTGCATGTGTGTGATGTGCATAGACAGAGGTTGTTGTGTGTGTGCGT